AATAAATAAAAAATACTTGATTTCGCCAGAAGCGATCACAAAACTGTCAACAAACAACGTAATAAAACTGAAATCAAACTGATGTGAAAGCATCAACGAATTTGGACAAGTCTGAGAACAAAAACAAACACATAACAAAAATAAAGATTATACGTGATCTATATTGAGTAAGTATTGTCACCTAATAATGATCACGTATAATCTAACTTTACGTCTAATAACCCCCGTAAAAAATAATTATTGGACACAACGTATTTCACTGCATTACTGTGTAACACATGTCTGTTTTACTTATTTAGGAGCATTTGTGATTATATAATATGTCATGATTACAGTCCCCCATCATATATCTTTATCGGAATGTTGCGTGAACCTTGTAGATAGTTTAACATGATTAACTGTATCTATTGACCTTTTGAACATTGTTATTGTTCAACTCGTTGGTTCGTGTTCGTAAGTTCACGATGTAAATTGAATTTGTATTGTTTATAGTGTGTTGTTGGGTGGAGTAAACGTAACTACCAGGCAGTTTTGTTAGAATGAGCTTCTCTCGAGCTCACCCCTCGCAGTGTAGCGGTCGCAGGGTTTATTTGAAGTGTGAGTATTTTACCTATATGGGTAATTGTTACCTATGGTTACACTACATATAAGGTAATCTGTCTCTAGCGTTCTCCTTATTTAATGGTAAGTAAACCATACTCCTGACCACATTGTGTGTGTACAGACAAATTGATTAGGTACGGTGCTTTACTACTAAAAGGTTATTCAAATTGTTATTTATATTGGGACCAAAATCCAATGTTTCAGTTTTATCTCTGGTCAAAATTTGCTGCAATTAAGATTTGGGGCATAAATAATTTGGGTCGTACTATAAATTACCCAGTCTTTTTATAAGGACCTATCCTCCTGACACTCTAAGATTTGACACACTCTGTTTTCAGCATCTCGGAGAAGTTGCAGAAGAGACGTTTCCATAAGTGGGTGAACATGTACCTAAAACCACGTGGAGCCCACGTGACAGACCTGTTCACTGATCTGCAGGATGTTGTGTTGTGTTTGCAGCTACTAAGCAGCTCTCCAGCGAGAAACTGGTGAGAACTTGCTTTTGTTTCACTTTCACTTTCACTTTCACTTCCACTTTCACTTTCACTTTCACTATAATAGGATTTTGTTCGTGCTATCAGTTGACTTAAGATCACGCAAGATTGCCCTTATTAAAACACTACTCCTCAGTAATTATGGTTCCTTAAAGTCCTTTACAACTATCTTCAAGTCTAAACAACTGTTCAAACACTACACTACAAATAGATCTCCTAGTAGATTACTAACTAAACACTACTTCTCAGGGTAGATCACGAATGAGTAGATGAGAAACTGAAGTCTGGTAGAATGTTGGTATGGCTCTTACATCCTCCCAGCAAGGGTTAAAAAAGTTAAACATAGACGCTACTGAATATGAACGTCTGGGTCCTAATCTCACTTTAGGCATGCTCGGATCATCAATCTCAAGTTCCAGGTACTTTCACTTTCACTTTCTAGTTTCATAGTTGAAGTTCTAGCTATGACTGCCTGTGTTACATAGCTTAGCTGGGAGCTTGTTAGCAGGCAGCAGTTGAGCAGCCCTTCTTGCCCTGTTTCAGTTGTTTTTGGTAATACTAATATGCCACTTCAATGAGTATATAATGCACTTGTGTCCTACCTTAAACCATTGCAGTGTGATGGGTAGTGAAGTGTGAAGTGGGTTAATGGTAGTGAAGTGTGAAGTGGGTTTGCCTTCATTGACAACATCATTATTCATTACCTACTCTAAAGTCTTTGTAAGCGTACTACTACTACTATATTATAAAAAGCACCTTAGTTCGCGAGCCTCTTACATTAAAAGGTGCTATGACCTATGCTATGTATTTATACCAACGAATATTACCATGTTATTCTCCTTTAAAGACATAAGCGATCCATGTGGTTCCTTGACTACAAGAAGTACATGTGGTACAATGTACATTTAACCAACGGTAACTTACAAGGCTTACATTGTACAATGCACATTATAATTTATAACCACTGTAACTACAGGCAGTACATTGTACAATGCACATTATAACCTCTTAACTACAGCAGTAACATTGTACAATGGTAAATTAATAACCACTGTAACTACAGGCAGTACATTGTACAATATTACCACTGTAACTACAGGCAGTGCATTGTACATTGTACATTATAACCACTGTAACCGTTAATGTATTGCTCCCTGCACCCAATATACACTCTCCTGTAATTGGGTTACGAAGCTACCTGGACTACACGGTTACTGACCACTGTAATCTATAATCACGTGGGTAACTGAACTTCATGGACTGTGTATCCTACATCCAGAACTCTGTGATCCTAGCATCCAGAACCTCTGTGATCCCTAGCATCCAGAACTCTGTGTTATCCTAGCATCCAGAACCTGTGTATCCTAGCATCCAGAAATCTGTGTAGTCCTAGCATCCAGAACTCTGTGTAGCCTGCATCCAGACTCTGTGTAACCTAGCATCCAGAACACTGTGAATCCTAGCATCCAAACTCTGTGTATCCTAGCATCCAGAACTCTGTCTATCCTAAGCACCCAGAACTCCTGTGTTCCTAGCATCCATGAACTCTGTGTATCCTAGCATCCCAGAACTCTGTGAAATCCTAGATCCAAACTCTGTGTATCCTACATCCAGAACTCTGTGTAATCCTAGGCAATCCAGGAACCTGTGTATCCAAGCAACCAGAACTCTGTGTATCTAGCAATCCAGAACTCTGAGTATCCTAGCATCCAGAGACTCTGTGTATCCTAGCATCCAGAACTCTGTGTTATCCTAATCATCCAGAACTCTTGTGTATCCAGCAACCAGAACTCTGTGTATCCCCTAGCATCCAGACTCTGTGGTATCCTAGCATCCAGAACGCCTGTGTATCCTAGCATCCAGAACTCTGTGTATCCTAGCATCCAGAACTCTGTGTATCCTAGCAATCCAGAACTCTGTGTATCCAAGCATCCCCAGAACTCTGTTGATCCTAGCATCCAGAACCTGGTATCCTAGCATCCAGAACTCTGGTGTATCCTAGCATCCAGAGACTCTGTGTATCCTAGCATCCGATCTCTGTGTATCCTAGCATCCAGAACTCTGTGTATCCTAGCATCCAGAACCTGTGTATCCTAGCATCCAACTCTGTGTATCCTACATCCAGAACTCCTGTTCAACAATCGTGTTTAGTTTGAACCTGCTCCCTCTCTTTGAACCTCCCTCGTCAAACCACCAAAAACTCGCCTCCATAGCTCTGTTCAATACAACCCCGTCACTCTCCAAATATTGGTTTTGTTTTTTATATAATACAGTTAATAAGTTACAAAACGTTTTTTGCTGTTTATGAAGGAGTAATATTTCAGATACCTGGTATAGTAATGGAGACCCAACACCAACGCCTGCAACCATCTGATTCTCCCTGTAGAGTTCTAGGTAAGTGTTACCGAGTTACTGAATCTTAACTAAACTAACCTTTTCCATTACAGTTTATATTAAAATAACTTGCTTCCAGGGATCGATATGAACGGCAATTTTAAGAATTTTACCTTTTTGAATGGAAACATTTTCCATAGGTTGTTTTAAAGCATCTACTTTTAACGAGCTGTGGTACCTGAACCAATAATACAATAACTGGTATATATACCAGTTATATATACAATATATATATATTGTAATACAATCATTACTTAAATTATTTACGATATATATTAAAGTATTTATAGTAAGAGAGTACTAAATTTAACTAAAGTATCCGTGATAATAAGATAATACTGTAGGTGGGAAAGGAAAATGAGTTTAATTGAAGAGGTATGCATGAATATAAAGGATATAAGAACAATTGAACACTGTTTGTGGTGTATCACAGATTTTACATGTTAACAATTCCCACTATCGTAATTCTCCCTGATTATGAGATTCAATGTACCATTATAATGATATGATATCATGAGTATATTGTGCACTTGTTCAGAATAAATGATTCAATTATTGAGAAAGAAAGAAGCTCTCTCCCTCTCATTTGCCCCTTTTAGATGATACCTTTTAGCACCATATTGATCCTAACTATACTATTAATTATCCGATCATTATTAAAATCACAATTAATAAAGAGTTATGATTATAATTAATGAATAATGAACAAATTATTATTATTATTCTGACAAAATTAAATTGAAAAAAAAATTTTTTAAATGAACTAACCCACTACACGACTAGTTTAAACTGTCAATAGTCCGCACATTTACAGACACTCAGGCTACATCTTATTATTGAGTCGATCATTAATCATGATGTTTATTTCAACCTGTAAACACCAATATAATATAAACACGACTGAAGTGAGAGTGTATGGGCTAATCATGACTCTAAGTGGTTTATTAGTGTTTTGGTAGACCTCCATAATAATACCACTAGTTGGCTATCATTAATACTACTCACCACGCACTGACACCCGTCAGTGTCTAGTGTCTGTAAACTACTATAGCACACTCTCCTCTCTATCTGTATATTGAGAGTAATGATGTTCAACACACTGCACACAAGTTACCTACAAGTACGCTGGTTAACATATGGTTTACATTACAGTCTATTCAATATACTGCTGAACATAACGAGGTTATAGGATATTGAATATTGACTTCTGAGAAAGGACCACCTGGATACAACAGTAGTATAATAATATGAGGGATTTACAACTTGTTTAATATATCCTCTTTGCACCAGTGCCACAATTTACTAGAGGAGCTCGCTGTATCTCGCTAGATAAGAGATTGCTATCTCACTAGATAAGAGATTGTTATCTCATACAATGGCTCAGTAGTAACAAGTTATTATAATCTCACAAGATAACAGCTCACTGCCTCCCCAGGAAGTACATTACAGCAGCAGTTAAGAAGCTGGCTACAAGAAACTCTGGGAACTACCGAGCAGTTCAACTTCTCTACTAGCTGGAATAATGGCATACTTCTCTGCAGACTCCTTCACGCTTACAGGTACACTCTTTACTTACCTGTTACTTACCTGTTACTTACCTGTTACTTACCTGTTACTTATCTGTTACTTACCTGTTACTTACCTGTTACTTACCTGTTACTTACCTGTTACTTACCTGTTACTTACCTGTTACTTACCTGTTACTTACCTGTTACTTACCTGTTACTTACCTGTTACTTACCTGTTACTTACCTGTTACTTACCTGTTACTTACCTGTTACTTACCTGTTACTTACCTGTTACTTACCTGTTACTTACCTGTTACTTACCTGTTACTTACCTGTTACTTACCTGTTACTTACCTGTTACTTACCTGTTACTTACCTGTTACTTACCTGTTACTTACCTGTTACTTACCTGTTACTTACCTGTTACTTACCTGTTACTTACCTGTTACTTACCTGTTACTTACCTGTTACTTACCTGTTACTTACCTGTTACTTACCTGTTACTTACCTGTTACTTACCTGTTACTTACCTGTTACTTACCTGTTACTTACCTGTTACTTACCTGTTACTTACCTGTTACTTACCTGTTCCACTGGGGTGGTGTATATTTATAAAATCAAAGACTAAATAGGACTATAATATTTAATATTGTGGGGGGGGGGGGGTGTCACGTCCGTCTATGTCCGCTTGTCTCATAGAATCCAAAAAGGACAGGACATAGGCGGACATAGGCGGACATAGGCGGACATAGGCGGACATAGGCGGACATAGGCGGACATTAATGGACACCTAAATTGCTAAATAAAATGTTCAATTTTTGCTGTTATAGGGGGGATAATGTTTTTTGTCCGTTCGGTACCCTATATTTTCAAAACGGACAAAAAATAGAGCGGACAAAAACGGACAAAAATGGACAAAAACGGAAATAACATTTAGATGCTTCCTCCTCCTACTCTTCCTCCTCCTCCCCCTGGGTCTTCCTGATCTTCCTCAGTCCTCTTCCTCCTCCCCTCCTCAGTCCTCCTCCTCCTCCTCCTCGTCCTCAGTCCTCCTCATCAGTCCTCAACAGTCCTCCTCCTCCCCAGTCCTCCTCCTCCTCCTGAGTCCTCCTCCTGGGTCCTCCTCCTGGGTCCTCCTCCTCCTCTTCATCCTCCTCCTCTTCCTCCTCAGTCCTCAGTCCTCCTCAGTCCTCCTCCTCATCCTTCTCCTCAGTCCTCCATCCTCCTCCTCAGTCCTCCCCCAGTCCCCCTCCTCCTCCTCCTATTCAGTCCTCCTCCTCCTCCTCCTCCTTCTCAGTCCTCCTCAGTCCTCCTCCTCCTCCTCCTCTTCCCTCTCAGTCATGCTCCTCAGCCATCCTCCTCAGTCCTCCTCAGTCCTCCTCAGTCCTCCTCCTCCTGGGTCCTCCTCATCCTCTTCATCCTCCTCCTCTTCCTCCTCGGTCCTCAGTCCTCCTCCTCCTGGGTCCTCCTCCTCATCCTTCTCATCAGTCCTCCTCCTCCCCAGTCCTCTCCCAGTCCCCCTCCTTCTCCTCCTCCTATTCAGTCCTCCTCCTCCTCCTCCTCAGTTCTCCTCAGTCCTCCTTCTCATTTCTCCTAAGTCCTCCTCCTGAGTCCTCCTCCTGAGTCCTCCTCCTCTTCCTTCTGAGTCCTCCTCCTGAGTCCTCCTCCTCCTCCCTCTCAGTCATCCTCCTCAGTCATCCTCCTCAGCCATCCTCCCCAGCCATCCTCCTCAGCCATCCTCCTTCTCAGTCCTCCTCAGTCCTCCTCCTGAGTCCTCCTCCTCCTCAGTCATCCTCCTCAGTTCTCCTCCTCCTCCTCCTAGGTCCTCCTTCTGGGTCCTCCTCCTCCTCCTCCTCCTGGGTCTTCCTGATCCTTCTCCTCCCTCTCAGTCATCCTCCTCAGTCATCCTCCTCAGTCATCCTCCTCAGCCATCCTCCTCAGCCATCCTTCTCAGCCATCCTCCTCAGTACTCTCCAGTACTCTTCAGTACTCTTCAGTCCTCAAAATGTTTGTCCGCTAATGTCCACCAATGTCTGCTAATGTCCACCAATGTCCATCCAAGTCCGCCAATGTCCGTCCGGGTCCGCCAATGTCCGTCCGAGTCCGCCAATGTCCGTCCGTGTCCGCCAATGTCCCAAAAAACACGTCCGTTGTCTCATAGAATCCAAAAAGGACAGGACATAGACGGACATAGACGGACATGACACCCCCCCCCCCCCCCCCCCCCCAATATTACACAAAGTTAACATTTCTGTTAATTCTAACTCCATGTTCCTCTTCCAGGCCTGACAAAGTAGTGATGGCTAGTGTAAGTAAGATGTCGCCAGTAGAGAGAGTACAGCATGCTCTTAACGTGGCTAAAAGCTGCTTCTCTGTGGAACCTCTTCTCATGCCGCACGGTACGTTACATAGGTTACCTTGGTTACCCTGGTTACCTTGGTTACCTTGGTTACCCGGCCCTGGTTACCTTGGTTACCTTGGTTACATAGGTTACATAGGTTACCCTGGTTACATAGGTTACCCTGGTTACCCTGGTTACCTTGGTTACCTTGGTTACCTTGCTTACCTAGGTTACCTTGGTTACCTTGGTTACCCTGGTTACCTTGGTTACATAGGTTACCTTGCTTATCCTGGTTACCTTGGTTACATAGGTTACCCTGGTTACCTTGCTTACCTTGGTTACCTTGGTTACCTTGCTTACATAGGTTACCTAGGTTACCTTGGTTACATAGGTTACCCTGGTTACATAGGTTACCTTGGTTACATAGGTTACCCTGGTTACCTTGGTTACCTTGGTTACCTTGCTTACCTTGCTTACCTTGCTTACCTTGCTTACCCTGGTTACCCTGGCTACCTTGGTTACCTTGGTTACCCTGGTTACCTGGGGGCCGGGAGATTTTTACCTTGGGAACGAGGGCAGGGTAACTACTAACGTTGTTTACTAAAAATAATGTATAATACTAGTTAAACATAAAATTTCGAAGTATCAGCTGCCGGATAAGACTTAAACTTATCATGCGCAAATAACCGACAGACTATTACTCAGAACTGACTCGATTCTTTGATCTAGCAGTAGCCAACACAGCTTTTCTCTGTACCTCTGACAACACTATTTATTATATACTACAATGTTTTGAGTTTACAGTAAATACTGGAACTGTACCAAGTTGTAACACTACACCCCGGATACTAAAGTGAACCCTCTCTACAGCAGCTCACTACACCCTGTAACAAGGTTCTAACTCACTTAGCCTCCTTACTTCACTCGTGTAACATTAGTTTTAATTAGGACCAGGTCCCCTGGGATTAGCATCATGTTATACTGTATTAGAGTGCTGTAAAGTAGTTATACTGTATTAGAGTGCTGTAAAGTAGTTATACTGTATTAGAGTGCTGTAAAGTAGTTATACTGTATTAGAGTGCTGTAAAGTAGTTATACTGTATTAGAGTGCTGTAAAGTAGTTATACTGTATTAGAGTGCTGTAAAGTAGTTATACTGTATTAGAGTGCTGTAAAGTAGTTATACTGTATTAGAGTGCTGTAAAGTAGTTATACTGTATTAGAGTGCTGTTCAGTAGTTATACTGTATTAGAGTGCTGTAAAGTAGTTATACTGTATTAGAGTGCTGTAAAGTAGTTATACTGTATTAGAGTGCTGTAAAGTAGTTATACTGTATTAGAGTGCTGTAAAGTAGTTATACTGTATTAGAGTGCTGTAAAGTAGTTATACTGTATTAGAGTGCTGTAAAGTAGTTATACTGTATTAGAGTGCTGTAAAGTAGTTATACTGTATTAGAGTGCTGTAAAGTAGTTATACTGTATTAGAGTGCTGTAAAGTAGTTATACTGTATTAGAGTGCTGTAAAGTAGTTATACTGTATTAGAGTGCTGTAAAGTAGTTATACTGTATTAGAGTGCTGTAAAGTAGTTATACTGTATTAGAGTGCTGTTCAGTAGTTATACTGTATTAGAGTGCTGTAAAGTAGTTATACTGTATTAGAGTGCTGTAAAGTAGTTATACTGTATTAGAGTGCTGTAAAGTAGTTATACTGTATTAGAGTGCTGTAAAGTAGTTATACTGTATTAGAGTGCTGTAAAGTAGTTATACTGTATTAGAGTGCTGTAAAGTAGTTATACTGTATTAGAGTGCTGTAAAGTAGTTATACTGTATTAGAGTGCTGTAAAGTAGTTATACTGTATTAGAGTGCTGTTCAGTAGTTATACTGTATTAGAGTGCTGTAAAGTAGTTATACTGTATTAGAGTGCTGTAAAGTAGTTATACTGTATTAGAGTGCTGTTCAGTAGTTATACTGTATTAGAGTGCTGTAAAGTAGTTATACTGTATTAGAGTGCTGTAAAGTAGTTATACTGTATTAGAGTGCTGTAAAGTAGTTATACTGTATTAGAGTGCTGTAAAGTAGTTATACTGTATTAGAGTGCTGTAAAGTAGTTATACTGTATTAGAGTGCTGTAAAGTAGTTATACTGTATTAGAGTGCTGTAAAGTAGTTATACTGTATTAGAGTGCTGTAAAGTAGTTATACTGTATTAGAGTGCTGTAAAGTAGTTATACTGTATTAGAGTGCATGATTAACAAGATATTGTAAGGTTTAAACTAATACCTACCACTAAACTTGACATATTTTGATCATTATAGTGTGCCTGCGTGAACGAGTTATGTGGTGATATTAATTAATACTCATCTAGTTATAACGTCACATAACATCTAGTTATAATAACGTCACATAACTTAATTAAGCAATGTTAGGAGGGTTCACTATTGTACACCAGGTGGGTAGTCAAGGGTCGACCGAGTCCTCGGCCTCGGTTTTACCGAGGAATGGCGATTTTTCCTCGGCCTCGGTCAGGAGGACAATTCCTCGGTTCGCCTCGGCCTCGGTCAAAAATAGATTCGAAATTCCTCGGCCTCGGCGAAATTTGACGATTTTACCGAGGATTTGACCGAGGATTTTTGTTGAAATTTTGGGAATTTTTCTAGTAGTGAGGTTACTAAAACACTACCTCAACTACTCTAGTACTCTCTGTAGTGTTTATGTAGTGTTACTGTACTAACAGCACTTACTATATACTAACAACACTTACTATATACTAACAACACTTACTCTACTTCAATTATACGATATTACTTATTTTTACCGAGACAAGAGCTACAGGATAAAGTCAGATACTTAAAAACTTGAATACCTGGTAGTAATGTTATTTATAACGTCATGTTGTAATTACAACCAACCTTCTAAAGTAAGAATGTTAAGATTTAACAGATAAGTGCCATATTGTGCCACATAGAAACACACTGTGTTATAGTAGTAGTGTGTTAGTATTAGTAGTAGTAGTGTGTTACAGTTGCACACTAACATGGTTGTGAGCTTCTAATTGACTAATTGTCATATTGGATATTGGTTGCCTCCCGCTGTTACCTACGTATATTCTGGAAACTAACAACTAAATAATGAATTCTACAAACTAATAAACTTCTCTTATTTAGTCGGGTTGTCTCTAACAACACACACACCTGTCTATAGTATTGTAACCCTGCCAATTGTATACAATAAACAGTATTACAAACTCTGTGTGTATTAATTATACCCCTCTCAATAGTGTTTTGTGTAGAATATGACACAGTCAGATGATAGAACCTGCTATATAATACGTGTAGTAGTAGTGAGCAATAAACACACTGTTTGAGCTATTGTTTTCAAGTAATCACATCACCAATAGTTTGAATAGAGGCGGCAAAATAGAGCCAATATAGTAGAGCTGTTGCACTACATGAGCCAACAGAGCTGCATTGTTTGGATACAGACCACCAGCCCAGCAAACACACCTAGTGTTAACAGTTACTAGTTACCTAGTTACTAGTTACTAGTTACTACCTGATAGTTTTATAGTGTAGTTTGAGGGTATATTGTGTGATATGGTGTGCGCATGTGAGTTGAAGTGAGGTCTGACAAGATATCAATTAAAATACTCTATACTATCGAATAGATACTATGGTAATACTACACATACACATGCCTTCTCAAGTAATACTACAAGTTATCCCAACTCTAACCGACCCTTTATTAACTAAACACACTAATAAACACACTAATATAAACACACTAATAAACACACTAATAAACACACTGATAAACACACTACTAAACACACTACTAAACACACTAATAAACACACTACTAAACACACTGATAAACACACTAATAAACACACTACTAAACACACTACTAAACACACTACTAAACACACTAATAAACACACTACTAAACACACTAATAAACACACTAATAAACACACTACTAAACACACTAATAAACACACTAATAAACACACTAATAAACACACTGATAAACACACTTATAAACACACTAATAAACACACTGATAAACACTACAATTTCAGATGTAGCTACCAGTATCCCTGATGAGAGAGTAGTGTTAGTGTACTTGTCTGTACTGAAGAGTGTTCTCCTGGGTAAACACACTGCCAGACAGCGGGCAGCTCACTTTCTGGTTAGTTAATTTTAATATAATTAATATAGTTAATAATAACATTTTAAACGATCATTTCACAAATTAAGTCGGAAGATTTCCATAAGTTGAATAAGAAGAATTGCACGAACGGGTCGTGTCGTGATGAGAGGGTACCAAATAAGATAATTTATTAATATTTGCTCCGTATTTTGGCCTTATTCCAAAAGAAATAGCACGTGTCAGAGAAGTTAACTAACACGTGTCAGAGAAGTTAACTAACACGTGCCAGAGAAGTTAAATAACACGTGCCAGATAAGTTAACTAACACGTGCCAGAGAAGTTAACTAACACGTGTCAGAGAAGTTAACTAACACGTGCCAAAGAAGTTAACTAACACGTGCCAAAGAAGTTAACTAACACGTGTCAGAGAAGGTAACTAACACGTGCCAGAGAAGTTAACCAACACGTGCCAGAGAAGTTAACTAACACGTGCCAGATAAGTTAACCAACACGTGTCAGAGAAGTTAACTAACACGTGCCAGATAAGTTAACCAACACGTGTCAGAGAAGTTAACCAACACGTGTCAGAGAAGTTAACTAACACGTGCCAGAGAAGTTAACTAACACGTGCCAGAGAAGTTAACTAACACGTGCCAGATAAGTTAACTAACACGTGCCAGAGAAGTTAACTAACACGTGCCAGAGAAGTTAACTAACACGTGTCAGAGAAGTTAACTAACACGTGCCAGAGAAGTTAACTAACACGTGTCAGAGAAGTTAACCAACACGTGCAAGAGAAGTTAACTAACACGTGTCAGAGAAGTTAACTAACACGTGTCAGATAAGTTAACTAGCACGTGTCAGAGAAGTTAACTAACACGTGTCAGAGAAGTTAACTAACACGTGCCAGGAATTTAACTAACACGTGCCAGGAATTTAACTAACACGTGTCACTCAGGAGTTACAGGAGAGATCACGTGTTATGATGGGGGAACTAGAAGAAGCTCAGGAGCACTGTGTTGAGGAGATGGCAGGAGAGTGGAGGAAACTCAGAGATACTCTCCACTCAGACCAACCTCCACAGGGCCTTAACGAGGTACAAATAACTATTAGCTTATCTAGTATGGGGGGGGGGGGGGCTCTCTCAGTTCAAAGTTGGGAATGTTAATATTAATTATGATCTCTTAATCCTGCTCCTCTACATGAGCTAACATGTTGACCACAACTAACCTAGCTCTACTATCTATTAACCCAGGTGTTCCTGGTGTCGTCACGACAGTTAGCTTCACACTACGATAAGAGCAACAAAGCAGCCCAGAAGAAACTACACACATACGCTACCGAGGTTAGAACAATTTGTTGTTATTTTTCAACCCTATTCTAGCCACCATGGGTATCCTGCCAAAAATCATGCTTCATCCCCTTTTGTCGTACATTGGGACCTAACAACTCCGCATTTTTCCTCATTTTAACTTTAATAAGGTAAAATGACCAATTTCTGTACCGTAGCATTAGAAAATGTATCGTTATTCTTGATTTTGGTTGAATATTAGAAGTACACGCTGTGAGTATTAGAATAACACCAGGTATAGAATTTATTATCCAATGTTTAAAATTTCTCCGCAGCTGCAAGAATTGGATAAGTTTGAGAAGGAGATTAAGAGATTAAAACATCTAGCTAGCTACGTTCACTCTTACAGAGACAGTCTTGCCAAAGTAGTGAGTTTTACTTTATTTGTTGCTATAGTTACTATATAAAAGTAGTGAGTTTTACTTTATTTGTTACTACTTTAGTCTTTTACTTGATTCATTAAAATAGTTAATAATATGACAATCTTTTAAATTTTTGTTCTTAAGTCTGTCCTGAGAAATACTCTTCAGTTTTTAAAGCCGTGTTTAACTTTAAAACTTCTTTATTTCTGAAGGTAGCAAATGAGAAAGTGGTATGTAGTCTTCCATGTTGTACTAATGTGATGTACTAATGTGTAATGTGTAGCATTGTGTTATGTGTATTGTACTAAGTAGACAGGTAGACAACATGTAACATTGTGTTAAGTTAGAGTATACTACAGTAGGTCAGTACCTGTGTACTACTACAGTACCTGTGTTGCTATACTCTGTTGTCTGCAGCACATTTCCAGCTAAAACTGCTTGTAAAGCCTCAATTTAGTTTATGTGTGGTTTTAAAACTCATTAATTGCTGTGTAAATTAACTTTACAGTCTACATGAATCATTAAACAAATTTAACCTAAAGTTCCACACCCCTTATGCACAACATGAACATTGCTTTAACTTCCTACTTCATTGCTTTGTTTTGCTTGCTGTTCTCAGTTGTTAGCTTGATGATAAGTATGAAAACCGTGTAAGTCTTCTTCGTAAGTTTATCTCGATTTGTTACCAGCTATGAACTTGTGTTCTCATCAGAGTTTTAAACAGCGCTTTCTCGTGATTTAAATTGATTTAGTTCACCGTTCACGTCTTGACTTTTGGAGGTACGACATCATTTTAGGTCAGTAAAAGCAGCTTCTAGAAGTTTAGTAGCTGTAGTAAAAGCAGCTGAGTTGGACTTTCTGTACCAAACTGTACCATGGTACAATATTTGACGAAAGTCAATTATCTTGAGATCCTACTGATAAATTTTCTTTAAACTTTCCAGATAGTTGTATGGTTCTGAGACGGATAATCTGAGCAAGTTTGGGCGAATTTCTATGTGTCAAACTTGAGATATGACTTCAAACACAAGAAAATATCTCAAATTGGTACAATATTTGACGAAAGTCAATTATCTTGAGATCCTACTGATAAATTTTCTTTAAACTTTCCAGATAGTTGTATGGTTATGAGACGGATAATCTGAGCAAGTTTGGGCGAATTTCTATGTGTCAAACTTGAGATATGACTTCAAACACAAGAAAATATCTCAAATTGGTACAATATTTGACGAAAGTCAATTATCTTGAGATCCTACTGATAAATTTTCTTTAAACTTTCCAGATAGTTGTATGGCTATAGGACGGATAATCTGAGCAAGTTTGGGGGAATTTCTATGTGCCAAACCTGAGATATGAGTTCAAACACAAGAAAATATCTCAAATTGGTACAATATTTGACAAAAGTCAATTATCTTGAGATCCTACTGAAAAATTTTCTTTAAACTTTCCAGATAGTTGTATGGCTATAGGACGGATAATCTGAGCAAGTTTGGGCGAATTTCTATGTGCCAAACTTGAGATATGACTTCAAACACAAGAAAATATCTCAAATTGGTACAATATTTGACGAAAGTCAATTATCTTGAGATCCTACTGATAAATTTTCTTTAAACTTTCCAGATAGTTGTATGGCTATAGGACGGATAATCTGAGCAAGTTTGGGCGAATTTCTATGTGCCAAACCTGAGATATGAGATCAAACACAAGAAAATATCTCAAATTGGTACAATATTTGACGAAAGTCAATTATCTTGAGATCCTACTGATAAATTTTCTTTAAACTTTCCAGATAGTTGTATGGCTATAGGACGGATAATCTGAGCAAGTTTGGGGGAATTTCTATGTGCCAAACCTGAGATATGAGTTCAAACACAAGAAAATATCTCAAATTGGTACAATATTTGACAAAAGTCAATTATCTTGAGATCCTACTGATAAATTTTCCTTAAACTTTCCAGATAGTTGTATGGCTATAGGACGGATAATCTGAGCAAGTTTGGGCGAATTTCTATGTGCCAAACTTGAGATATGACTTCAAACACAAGAAAATATCTCAAATTGGTACAATATTTGACGAAAGTCAATTATCTTGAGATCCTACTGATAAACAAAAATGTTGTGAAAAAATGTTGTGAAAAAATGGAAATAACATTTAGATGCTTCCTCCTCCTCTTCCTCCTCTTCCTCCTCCTCTTCTTCCTCCTCCTCCTCCTTCTCCTTCTCATCCTCCTCTCCCTCATGCCCCTCCTCCTCCTCCTCCTCTTCCTCCTCCTCCTCAGTCTTCCTCCTCCTCAGTCATCATCCTCCTCCTCCTCCTCAGTCCTCCTCCTCCTCCTTCTCCTTTTCCTCCTCCTCCTCCTACTCCTCGTCAGTCCTCCTCCTCTTCCTCCTCTTCCTCCTCCTCCTCAGTCCTCCTCAGTCATCCTTCTCCTCCTCCTCCTCCTCCTCAGTCCTTCTTCTCCTCCTCTTCCCCCTCCTCAGTCTTCCTCATCCTCCTCATCCTCCTCCTCCTCCTCATCAGTCCTCCCCTTCCTCCTCCTTCCCCTCCTCAGTCCTCCTCTTCCAGTCCTCCTCCTTCTTCTCCTCCTCCTCCTCTTCATCAGTCCTCCTCCTCCTCCTCCTCCTCCTCATCCTCCTCTCCCTCCTCTCCCTCCTCTCCCTCATCCCCTCTTCCTCCTTCTCCTCAGTCCTCCTCAGTCCTACTCCTCTTCCTCAGTCCTACTCATCTTTCTCCTCCTCCTCCTCAGTCCTCCTCAGTCCTACTCCTCTTCCTCCTCCTCCTCCTCAGTCCTTCTAAGTAATACTCCTCTTCCTCCTCCTCAGTCCTCCTCAGTCCTCCTCCTCAGTCTTCCTCATCCTTCTCAGTCCTCCTACTCCTGAGTCCCCTTGAGTCCTCTTCCTCCTCATCCTCATCCTCATCCTCCTCATCCTGTGTTCTCATCCTCCTCCTCCTCCTGAGTCCTCCCGAGTCCATCTCCTCCTGAGTCTTCCTCCATCTGAGTCCTCCTGATTCCTCCTCCTCCTGAGTCATCTACCTCCTCCACATCCTCCACTTCCTCCTCCTCTTCAGTCCTCCTCCTCCTCCTTCTGAGTCCACCTCCTCCAATACCTCCTCCTCCTCCTCAGTCTTCCTCAGTCCTCCTCCTCAGTACTCCTCCTTCTCCTCCTCCTCCTGTAGCCATGTAACTATCTGGAAAGTTTTTAAAAATTCTATCATTTAGATCTCCAAAATATATATGCCTTTGTTCCGCTAAAAACCGCCAATTTGGAGATATTTTCTTGTGTTTGAAGTCATATCTCAAGTTTAACACATAGAAATTCGCCCAAAATCGCACAGATTATCCGTCTCATAGCCATACAACTATCTAGAAAGTTTAAAGAAAATTTATCTGTAGGATCTCGAAATATGTGCCTGTGTTCCGTTAGAAACCGCCAATTTGTGATATTTTCTTGTGTTTGAAGTCATATCTCAAGTTCAACACATAGAAATTCTACAAAAATCGCACAGATTATCTGTCTCATAGCCATACAACTATCTAGAAAGTTTAAAGAAAATTTATCAGTAGGATCTTGAAATATGTGCCTGCGTTCCGCTAGAAACCGCCAATTTGTGATATTTTCTTGTGTTTGAATTCATATCTCAAGTTCAACACATAGAAATTCTACAAAAATCGCACAGATTAGCTGTCTCATAGCCATACAACTATCTAGAAAGTTTAAAGAAAATTTATCAATAGGATCTCGAAATATGTGCCAGCGTTCCGCTAGAAACCGCCAATTTGGAGATATTGTCTTGTGTTTGAAGTCATATCTTAGGTTTGGCACATAGAAACTCGCCCAAAATCGCGCAGAATATCTTTCTCATAGTCATACAACTATCTGGAAAGTTTAAAGAAAATCTATTGGTCAGATCTTGAGAAAATCGAAAATATATTCTAAGTTATTCACTAAAACACTCGATTTTCGACCAATCCATATGGTACAGTTTTGTCGAAAGTCCTTCTGAAGCAGCTGCTACAAGTGGAGTAACTGTAACGCGCGAGGTAAAATTATTGTAACAAACATTGTACAGTGCGCGTAGTTTGGCGCTTCAGTGGTTGTATTATAGAATTTATCATGTTTTGATGAATTATCGATATAATAATATATAATAAGTTGTCTTTATTACTTTATTACTTCATTTAATAAACTGTGATAATTTCTAAGTTCTTGCCAAAATACTTACACCTTGAAAAGAAAACAAATTTAAATTTGTGTCGGTAGAATCCCCATTCAGTTGATAACCGGTCAGCTCAGTTCGCTGGCAGCAGCTATTTGTTGAGTTCTATGAGATTTTGTTTTCTCTTATTATTTCGTAGTAAGTTTATATTTATAACACACAAATGCAATCATTTGTAGTCACAAATCAATATTTATTACAAGATCTATTCAATCAATATTGCTATTTTCCTTTTTTCTTAAAAAATTAAAAGTTCTAATCTAATCAACAAGTTAAATGACTACTCCGGCCTCCGGGTCTTTTTTTCCGATCTATAAAATTATTATCAGCTGATCAAACCGGTTTACTGGAGACCATACTCTTAGAGCTTGTTGAAAAGGGCCACTGAAAAATGTTGACAGTTATTGTTGAAAAGATCGTACTTCCTCCCAGTGCATTTGGTATCGTAAATACAGTCGTTCAGCTCTCGTAACTTCATTGGTTTCCTCATAGGTGCCCACTCCTCTTCTCTGAATGCTGGGCTGCACAGCTGCTTATCTTTGTACACATATCTTTTAGGGCGTAACTCCGGGCTGTGAATCCAAACATCAGGATTTGATGGACCTTGAACAATACTCAAAGCAGCATGAGCCTTGTTCCTCTCTTGGAGGAGGGCTCTAAAGGGTACTGCATTGACATCATATCGTCCTATCTCCTCCACTGGTTGTATGAAGTCCCCGTTACAAAACTGAGCGATGAAGTATGCTACTTGAGGATCAGCATCTGGAGCCTTGCATTCAGCCCTGGCTACAAAAGCCCATTGCTCAGTTGGTGGCAACTCCACCAGTGTATTAACCATGTTTCTAACAATGTGCCCTCCGGATGGTAGCAGTAGCCAACATCCCCAGATAGCCTTGTGTGTGAATTTATAAAGTCGTCCCTGGAGACTATTCACGAGAGTTTCGTCCACTAATAGAAGTCTATCATCCGGTCCAATGAGGTCCGAGTTCTTGTCCTGATTTCTAAGTGAGT